CGTCGCAGGCGGCACAGCCGCCTCACGCATCCGTTCCAGGCGGCGTAGCCGTCTTTTGCCGCTGCTGACGGAGCAGCCACACCATTCGGCGCAGCCGCTTTATACTGCTGTCGCTGGCGGCGCAGCCGCCTTATGCAGTCGACGCAGACGGCGCAGCCGCCTTTTGCTGCTACTGGCTGTGCAGCCGCCTTATGATGTCGCCGCAGGCGTTTCAGCCGCTTTATTTAAGCCGCCGCATTCGACTCAGGTTTCTTTTGCCGCTGCTTGCGTCTCAGCCGCCGCAGGTTGCGCTGCGTCGCAAGACTGGATAGCCGCAGCTAACTGCGCAGTTGCTTTATTTCGTTGCTGGAGACGCAGCCGTCGCAAACGGCGCAGCCACCTTTTGCTTTAGTTGCTTTAAAAACAACCGTTCTTCCTAGGACGAGCGCACTCGGTCATGAGACTCTATGGACAACCGCTGGGGCATGTCTATAGTCTCAAAAATGAGTTCTTTACCCTTTTTCATTTTTGGTGTTCTATTGTACTGCTATGCGCCGCTAACTTCAATCCAATGGCACTCAACGAACATAAATATACCAGCTTGAAAAAGTTCTTTTGACAGATACGAAACCAAAAAATCCTTAGATAGTAATAGCCTCCGGGTTACCAGTGATCGGCGACGCGATTAATTAAGGTTACGACAGGTGAAGGGGATCCCACGGCCCAAATCGCACTTTTAAAAAAAAAACGTCAGGAACGTTTTTCAGAACATTACATTGAAGGGTAAAAGTGGAAAAATCCTTAGATAGTAATAGGAGCCGGCCCTATTCAACAATCGAGAAGGTTACCAGTGATCGGCGAGGGGTCGTTATACAGCCTCTCCTGACAACAACAAAAAAGTTATTATCAACGACAAACAAACGTTCTCTCAAGTTGAACAAATCCTTAGATAGTAATAGGCGCCGGCCCCTGCGGGGCCCTTGCGGTGGCAACGTATCGTAAACGAGCTTTTCCAGGCCACCAGGCGGAGGTCGACGTCGAGCGCCCCCGTTGACGCCCATAGTTGAGACCTGCTAAAACGTCGTCCTGGCAACACATGCCGGGCGGGCTCGAGCAGCGTGCTCACGCCTCCGGAGCCCTCGACGTACGCGCCGAAGATGCCTACGACGATCGGGCCGAAGAGTCGCCGCGAGGAAGGTCACCGTGAGGCACGGTGGTCCACATCATCTCGAGGCGCCGTGCGTACAGGCCGCACTCCGTCTGGAGCAGGCCGGGGCGCACCTCCACCGG